ATATATCCTTCTCCTGAAGCTGCAGATTCAGTGCCATCCTTTGAAATAACTTCTTCTTGGGGCAGGGGCACAGCCTGTGTTCTTGATTCTCTGGTTCTGGATGCAGCTTTCTGATGCGTGTTGGCTCGACTGCATCCCACTGCCCCCAGCTCTCTTCTCACTATCAGCATCTCGGGTGATGGTCTCCTCTGTTCTTTCTTTTGTTGGGACATAGGTCCTGTCTGTGCTGTGGCATCTCATCAGGGCAGGTCTCTTCTTTCTTCCTGCCTGAGTGCCCTCTCATTCCTGTGGGGCCAGCTTTTTCTTTAATTTCTTCTTTATCTTTCATGTGGCTGGGGTCTTCCCCACTGCCTGATAGTCTCTGGTTGCTGTTTGTATTTAAGACAAATGGAGGGTCAACAGGGGATCTCTCACCAAGTTCATGAGTAGTGCTTTTCTAAAGGAAACTCTTGACAGGCAGCTAAGCTATGTGTGGGGCCATTGGCGAGTTGGTGGACAGATTTCCTCCACATGACCGAGTTGTGGGAGTTTTCTCTCAGGTTGGGAGTCTTACAAATACCAGAATGAAGCAGACTTTGCCTGCAATTGTCATGTCCATCCTGGATTGCCTGGACCATTTGCCTCGGAATGAAAGCTGGCTGCAGTGTTCAGAGGCTTGTGGGGAGGTGGACTTGGGGCCACCATAATCTCACCTCTCTGGGTTACTTTTCCTATTTCACATGGAGCTTCCCATTGTCCTTTGTCTCTGAGGTCTATTAACACCTCACCTCCTTGCTACTGGCTGGCCCTTTCCCTTTTGTGTATCAGGCGTTTTTTGTTAGTGAATTTTCCAGAAATCGAGAGACAGGTGTTGTGGACTGTTGTAGACACTTGTTTACCCAGTTTTTAATTCTTCCAAGTAGTAGAATGTCTTTAACTCAAATCTTTTTGCATTTTTCTAATTATTATTTTTTTTACAGCTGTTTTGTATACGTAGAATAAATGCTTTTGACACTCATTTTAGGTTTGCTAACTTGAATTTCTATCAGTAAACATTGGGGTACTTTTCCCCTTATTTCCTTGCCAAGATTGGATTCGAATTTTTTGAAATCTTTACCAGCACAGACCCAGAATCCATGGTCATCAAGTCAATTCAGGCTCAGCAACCTGTAGGACAGGAGAGCTACCCCCTGTGGTTTCCAAGACTGTGTTCTCTATGGAAGGAGCCCTGAGGGAGCTGTGTTCGGCACAGGGCCGCTCTGTGAGAGAAGAGTGTGGCAGTCTGCCACGAGTTCCAGTCGACCGGATGGCACTGCCTTTTGCTTTGTTTCAATCTTCATGGAAGCAGACTGTCACACCATTCTCCTGAGGAGTGGCTGGGGGTTTGAGCCACTGACCTTTAGTTAGCAGCCAGGTGCTTAACCAGTATGCCACCTGTGCTCCTGAACATAACCATAAGGCTGCTTATTAAAGTGCAAAATTCTGGGATTTTACTTTGTATTTTATATTCTGGTGAGGATTTTTATTTTAACATTCATTGTTAAGCTTGCACAGTGTTTCTCCTTTTAAATGTTTAAATTTTGTTTTATTATTATATTGCACTTAATATAATAATATTGTGTTTGGTGTCTGTTTTTCCGCAGAATGGATGATGAACTTGTTGTTGGACATAGTGCAAGATAAGGGATCTCCACCTCCACTCGTACACCTGGCTTTTAAGTGTCTCTACATCATCACCAAGGTAACACAGTCCTTTACAGTCAGTGCTTGGACCCGAGATTCCTTCCAGAATGTTTTTCACCTGGATAGATGGTTCTCAGACACAAACTGTGTGTCCACCTTTTCCTTTTCCATTATATTTTGGGAACTAAATCTTAGTGAGTTCTTTGGCTGAAATAGTGTCCAAGATAGCATCTTGCTTTTGAGTAGATTGAACCACCATCCAAGCAGAGAGAGTGTCTACCAGGGAGAAAGCAGACACAAAGTAGAAATACAAGTGTTTCTCAAATTTAACGTGCATGTGAATTTGCTGGGGCTCTTTGTTAAGTAGGTTGGGGCAGGACCCAGGACTCTGCATTTCTTTTTTTTTTTTTTTTAATTGTTT